ACACAGAGATCTGATGGGAATCTTTGGTAAGCTTATCTCATGCCTGCGTGTTGTGTGGCATTCTGTGCCTGTGTGCCAGCTGGACCTGGATTTGTGGGCTCTCTGATACCGTAGGGAGCACAGTGTCCTTGCCTTTTTATCCTAATCCTAGATCTTGGAGAACAAGACTTCTAGCATACGAGTTATGCTACAGGGAACCTTTTACTTGCACATATCAGCTCAGGCAGAAACACTGCAAGTTCCCCAAAAGCCTTGAAGAGACACACTTTCTCAGGGGATCTTGCTTTTAAACCTCCTGACCTTAAACAAAAGGGAGCTGACAGGGTAGGCAATGACCAGACTGGGAGCAGTAGCGAAAGGTGTTTTCCCTTCTCCCACTCTCTGCACATCCTTCTGCTGGTCAACAGCTCATTGCTGTTGGTCAGAGATAGAGAGGGGTTTGAGTCCCTTGTTGAGCTGGACAGTGACTGAACATCATATGTTAGGAGGAGCTGTTAAAAGCTGCGAGATTGGATCTGAAATTCTACCCAGCTGCTCATAGACCAGAGGAAATGCTCCAAACTCTTACTTGTCAGAAGAAGAACCAGAAGAAGATCCTTGAGGCTGGAGAACAGAGCAGAGAGTCCCCTCCTTGAGATGCTCCAGCCTTGCTCAGTTTAGCACTGCCTGCATTGCCAAGAGTGCAGCAGCCATTCAGTACCATTCTGCCAATCATTTCTTTGCTGCACCTAAAAGTCAGACTTGCAGCACTGAAAGTAACAGCTGTTTGTAAACTGACATTTCAATGACAATTGTCAGGAGACAATAAGCATATGGCAGCTGACTCCTCACATGCAGAGAAACTGCAGCAGCGGGGGCACGGAGCAGCTGCAGACGCTGGAAGACAGCACTGCATTGATCTGCAGTTGGGAAGGTCATCTCAGTGATTGAAGGCTGTGTTTTGTGGCTTGGCTCTTCTTAGAAGCTATCAAGGCAATAAACTAGTGCCTTTTGTCCTTATTTCTAACAAAAAGCAAGATTTTTGTCCCGGTTAAAATAATAAATGTAACATAAATACAGGCCAAAACCCCATCTCCCAGAGGTAACATTCTTAATTAGTACTGGAGTCTTTGCTTTTTTTTGCTCTCCCAAATTAGTAGTGGCTGGTATTAAGAACACCAAGAGCCTGATTAGCAAGAAGGTATCTTTGCTCAAGTTTTCATGGATTCTGCCATTTGTAGCAGGATCCAATAGGGACCAAGTGCTTTCCTCATGATTAGTATTGCTTTATGACGGTAAAGTTAACATTGAGGGGTGGTCTCAGTCTTTTCCTATTTTGGGAACCCTGCCTCTGATGCGCTGTTGGAAGGCTTTGAGATGGAGGCACAGGGCAGGTTATGCCTTTGTATGTAGCTGGGCAAAGTACATAAACGAGAAGCAAGTGCTAAAAAAAGTCTCCCCCTGAACCAACTGCATTGCTGCCTGAACTTGACTCACAGCTCAGTAACCATATGCTTATATTCCACTGACAATTGCCATTTAAATGTCAGTTTACAAGCAGATGTTGAGAACCAGCCTTTGTGTCATTAATTAAATCGTGGAGATGCAGAGTTTGAGGTCTAACACTGCTTTGGGCTAATTACAAGAGCAGCAGAGTCCGGCAGACCTCGATGCACCAGGGCAGTCAGGGTTAAGTGGTACAGGAAAAGGAGTGTGTACCTGAGGTCACTGCAACCACTGCCTCGGTTAATGGATTATAGCAGCCAAAGAAAGCTGTTGTTGGTGTTGTCTAGTGACAATTATAATTTTGTAGACAATTTAAGGTTTTGTGGGATGGTTGGCAGTAACCAGGATACAGATAAAACACTGGATCATAAAGTAAGACAGATTTAAGTGGTCAGGTGCAGAAAAAAAAAACAAACACCAAAACAAACCAAAAAAACCCCCACAAAAACCTATTCAGTAGAAAAACAAGGAAAATCTGGAAGGGTGGAGAAAAAAGCCCTCTCTACTCTACTAGACATAAGCATGTATTTAAAATCCTTCCCAATAAAGTTCATAATGAATTTAATTCAGTCCCCCATGGCCCAGAGGAATGTTCTGAGTAATAAAAAAGTATTGCTAAGGGACAGATGACTGCCAAACTCCTATTCTCTGCCAGCAATGCATATTTATATTATTGGCACTTAAACGCTAGGTTTATTTTACTACATAACTGATCCTTTGTCACATATTAAGAATTAATACTCTGAGATTGACTTTTGGGAAGTTAAAATAATGATTTCTAAATTTAAAGCATTGTTAAATTTGCGTGCTTTATTTTTAGAGGTTTGGGGTGGGTTTTTACAGATTAAAATAGTACTTGAATGTGGTCATTCTTATTTTGGGTAAACTATTTTATGGTTGGTTTATGGTTTAGCTCTTGAAATTGGTTTTAGTCAAGGGTCTTTTCATGTCTTGTTTTTTTTTTTGTTTGTTACCTTGAAGCATCTACAACAATGTTAAATGAATTGTAAGCTCCCACCCTTACTTAAAGGTTGAGATGTACTCACAGTCAATAGATAACACAAGGGCTCCTGGCTTCTGTTGGCATTGTCTAATGCACTTCTGATGATTAAACTGGAATGATTCAAATGTGTGCTGGAAATTTCGAGCACCCGTAATGGAGGCTGCAGAACCACAGCGTTACTTTGTTTATAAACATCATTATTCCGTGGGAGATAAATCTCTGCTTTCATCAAGTGTGGCACTTCAGTGCCATAGTCAGGAAAATGGGGGGTAAAAAACCCCAGAGCTACTAATTTTTTTCCCTCTAATACAGAGTGGAAGGTAAAGTTGGGTATGAGATGAAACGTGAAGAATAATTCCTAATAGGTGGCAGGCTCAAGTGAGAATGCATCAGTACTGGTGTAAGACACAGTCTGGTTTGCATTCAAGCTGATTAAGACTGTTTAAGCAACTTTGGCACATTACAGTACAACACAAACTCCTGGAGCCTCTGCTCGAGTTCAGGTTGATGGCAGCAGCGCTGAACATAGAACCTTCCTGAGGTGCTCTTCTGATGTGCTTCAGTTTACTCCACACTGCCATGTCAAGTGTGAACAGTGGAGAAAATACTGTGAGTCAGTCAGAGTGTTTATTTACATGGTGCACCTCCTTTGAGTCAACAAGCATGTTTTCAAAGTGTAAAACTGAACAATTAGTCATCCCTGGAGAACAACTGCTTTGCAGACATCTCCTCCCATCCCCCAAAAACCTCACCACACTGTGCAAGGGCACAAGCAGCTAATTTTTCATTTGCTGTACATCCTACCAAATATTCAGTTTTTCAGAACAAAAGTGTCTGAAGAATGTAACTTGGCATCTTAAGCACTTGGCAGTTTGAATTAAAAAGAAAGGTCAATGGCAAAGAATTCAGATACAAGCAAAAAGTCAGACAGAGCACTGTGGTTGAGCTTTAAAACTGCACGTATTGTTTGCTCAGTTTTTTCACAGCAGCATTCATAATTTAGGAAACTATTAATCAGCATGATGAAGTATCCTGTTTCTAACCAAGAGCAACAACAACAACAAAAGACACATTACAGCTTATTTTCTTTTCCCTTGAAAGAGATCATCTGGTAAAATTTGACAAGAAGTCTGCAGACATGGGTTTGTGAATTTTGCATTTAAGTTGCACCAGAAAAAAAGCCCCCTGGGAGCAGCAGAATCCTTTTGCTGCCTTTTTATAAGGCCCATCACAAGTCATTGCTCAGGGGGCATTATTTTCTGCTGGTCTGTGCCAGGACTGCTACCCCATATTTGTTATGCTGACAGCAGGGAAAAAGCACTGAAGGCTACAAAATTTGCAGTACTAATACAAAATTCAGATCAACCTTTGACAGAGACACAATAGGTACTGAAAATTGAGGCGAGGCAGCAGGGGAAGAGCAAGCAAGGGGCACGGAGGGAAGTGTGTGGAAATGAAAGTAAAGAGACAGTGGCTGAGGAGAGCTCTCGTAGGCAAAGAACAAAAAATGGCAAAGGTAACACATTTACCACTGGCCTGCCAACAACAGCCCTTTGGGGCTCTTAATCCAGTGCTGTAGCTTAAGGTGCACTCCTGCCCCATCCCACCAAAGTTATTTTACCATTAAGTGAATATGGAAGCAAGGGATCAAAAGGAAAACTTTTATTGGGTAGCTCATTCAGCTAGATAATAAATTTGTTGAAGTAATTTGTTGGAGTAAATTTGCTTTCATTAGCAAACTTTTTTTTTGTTTGTTTGTTTTTAAAAATGCATTTCATACCGTTTCTTTGCTTGGGAGTGGTGGAGAGAACTTGGGATATACCCTTATGAAGCTCTGGTAGTTGCAAAGTTATGAAAAATCTTCTCTTTTCTGCCTCCCTTTCCTGCTATGTTCATGTCTTCCCACTAGAGAAATATCATTTTCCTGGCTTCAAAAGTCAGTGTGTGCTATTTCAGAACAGCATTCCTACAGCGACCTGTTCAGTGGGGCCAATCTGACTCAGTCTAGACGGGTAAGAATTAAAATGCTTCTGTGCTGCTGTTGAGAGCAGAGGTCAGACAGTGGATGAGATTAGCAATGTAACACAAATCTGCGCAAGTGAGAACTATCCCATCAGGACACTCCCTGCTGTTCTGCGAGCCTGCAGCAGGAAAGAAGCCAGCCTGCACCTTCTGCTCCCTCCAAGTGTTCCTGTAAGGCACGTTTCCTGCAAAGAGAAAAACAAGGTGGGGACAGTAAACTGGTGGCTGCATTGTGTGCCAGCAGTGTGGGTGCAGTGAGAGGGATTATTTTTTGTACCTGGTATCTCCTGCAAGATGTCAGGATTTCCAGTGCTGACACACACCAACAGTGAGGATCCAGGTGCCTTGTCCCTGCTCCATCTCCTGCCTGGGAACAGCCAGCTCAAGTCACTGATATGTTTCTGCAGGGCTGCTGCTCTGACGATGGCACCACCACTTGCACCCTACTGAACACCATTCCACACAGGCAGAACTTTCAGACACCCAACACTTCAGTCACCCTCTTTTTAATGCCATTAGTGATGCAGCAACATGTATTTATATTTACATATAAATACGAAATGGTCCAATACCACATTTTTAAGCATAATTTATAATCTGAAACTGCTTACACTTTCATGACTAGGTTTGGGTTTTTCTCATTTACATTCATCATTTAATTCCACTGGAATTTGATTTTTAAGAAAGCCCAACATATCTTAATTACCATAAAAAGATCCATACACATTTTACTTAAAAATAGCTTCTGTAAGAGGAAATCTACCAAAAATAACACGAAATATATTATTATGCATACATTTTCTTTTTTTGTAAAGTACAAACAAGAATCTGATCTCTTCTGGGTATTGCCTGATCTAATATGGCTATAAGTTCTATTTATTTTGTTTGTTTTTCAAAGTAAAGGGAAAGACATAAGAAATGTAAGAGCAAAAACCAAAATAAAAATGCATTCTTTTCAAAGATACAGATGATCAGAGAAAGAACACTTTGAAAACTAATAAATGACAACAGGTACAAAGAAACACTACCCAAACACTATGCGGCCTTTTGTCAGATCAGGTGCTGCAATGACCTTGTAACAGTTATTAAAAATAACAAACAAAAAAAGTGCCACCGGCAGAAAAAGCTGTCAAGCAAAACACTGAAAAATTGGTACTATTTCCTAACAAGTAAGTGCAGGACTGATAGTATTTTATGCGTTTTCCCCCACGTATGCACACCTCTTTCTTCCTCTTTCTGCTCGCAGGGCTGATCGTTGCCACTCTGGCGATATGCTGGATGCCAAACCAGGTGAGGAGGATCATGGCAGCTGCTAAACCGAAGCAGGACTGGACTATCCCCTACTTCAAAGTGTACATCCACCTCCTTCCCTTCGCCGACATCTTCTTCTACCTCAGCTCGGCGGTGAACCCCCTGCTGTACAACAGCTCCTCGCAGCAGTTCCGCAGCGTGTTCCTGCAGATCCTGCGCTGCCGCCTGACCATCCAACACGCCAACAGGGAGAAGTTCCTCAGAGCCAACCAGAGCTCCAGAGCGCGGAGCAGCCGCTCCCTGCGCCCGCTGCTCTTCATGTCTTCGAGGCGCAATTCTTCCACGAAGGGCAACACCAAAGTTTTCCTAAGCACCTTCCAGAGGGAGCCCACACCTGACTGCAGTCCACAGAAGCCAGGTCCTGAATCACCAGAGCCCAGCCTGGAAGTAGTGTCCCTCGAGACTAGCTCAGAGCATGGTCCGGACGCACAGAACGGCCTTTGTGATCATCAAGTATGACTTCATAAGGCTAAGTTAATGATTAGCAATGAACTTAAAAACCCCACGGAAATTAAAATGACCCAGGAAAGTGACTACATCTCAAAAGGAATAACACAGATGGATTTGTTTCCAGTTACGCAGAAAGAGCAGGAGTTCTGTACCCTGCTGGGATTTTTAAGTGCACACTGGAAATTAAATCTGCTAAATGAACTCATTAGCTGCCAAAAATATCAGCCCCTCTCTCCACACAACCACTGAACTTCCCTCGCTGTTGACAGGGATTTGGAAACAAACAGAAAATAATTGCAGTGTCTTTGAAGAAGGCAGGAGACAGAACAAATTGTGTCAGGGCAAAAAAAAAAAAACCAAAAAAACCTAACCACCAAACTTGCTTGAAGTTTAGCAATACAAAAACAACAGAGTAAACTTAAGAAGCAGAACAGTGTTTATCACTTGTGCCCTCGGCACCACGCCAGAATTCCCCCTCTTCTTCGGCCGGGGTCCATTGCAGAGCGGGGTATTGCAGCAGCTGATGCAAACAGAGTTCACCTTCCCTGGAGAACAGAAGGACTGGTACCCAGCAGAGGCGATCAGACACGCGGCTGAAGACGCGCAGGACTTGCGGTACATGATTCCTGTGACACAGAACAAAGGTTACTCAGTTTGATGTGAACGTAGTTTTGCTTTACAACAGGGTTCGTGCTTGAAAACTGTTGCAAAACCAGTTTACATTCCCAAAGCAGTGCTGGTGATTAAGGCAGACACCTCAGTGGTGACACGACCAACACTGTGCTGCACTGCAGGAGCAGAACAGTCACTCTGCTTTGGATTTCTCTAGTTTGATTCTAGTTGGAATAAAAAATAGTACAGACCTGATTTACATAATGTACATCAAATGATGCATTTTATAACTGGAATTTTTCATCTTTCAGAATAAACTGTTTGAATAACTGAAATGCAATTACTGAGAAAATTAGTTTTGTTTCTATTGCTGAACAAGTCTGAGTTAAGGTGTCAAAGTAATTACAGCTTTCTATGCTGTTAATTTGTCTTTTGAGCGTTTTTTTCCCCCTCTTCTTGTTCTTTCGCCACACACAGACAAGTAACCAAGAGTAAAAGGAGAATGAATATCAGCAAAACTTTCATCCTCCCCCCTTCCCCTTTTAATTTTTTTTTTAAAGAAAAACTATAAGTACTCTTCCAGGTAATCTCAGTTCTTGCTTGTCTTTGAAGTTTAATAACCTCAACAACAAAAATTTCCATTTCTATAGAAACGTCTTGTCTGAGTTGAAAGTCTTCCCTTTTAAAATGTTATTTAAATTAATTTTAATTAATACTCTAATCTATAATTTCTCAAGTTGTTTTTCAGTGAAAAAAATACATTCTAACCCATATAACCATGTTATTTTTACATGGTTTTTAAAGGCTTTAAAATACACAGTTGTATTTTCCCAAGCTGCAGTGGAAAATGTTTATGGCAGTTCCACCACTCATTACTCTAAAATTCTGCAACTGATACAGTAGAAATTGTGTCTTAGAAAAACAGACATAGAACAGAAATAGATAATGGAAGTTTGCTCACATTGCCTTGCAGTTACAAGAAGAGGTAAATATTTCCAAGAATAAAAATCACTGTTCCTTTGAAATATGGGATTCTCAAAAAGTTGGTTGGTTTTCTTTTGTTTGTTTGTTTGTGGTTTTTTTTTGTTTGTTTGTTTTTGGTTGGTTGGTTGGTTGTTTTTTTGTTTGGTTTTTTTTTCTTTCCTCCTGAAGAGCATGGGAACAGGATTCTCTTGGAAAATGGTGCTTCTGCATCCTGTAGCACGGTCCCAGAATGTTTTTAAATACACAATGATGACGACTTTTTTTTTTGAAGGGACTGAAGCAGGAATATGACCTGTAGGTACTGAACATGCAATACCTGCAGGTACTTGTTCAGTCCCCAGGGACTTTGGAAACAAACACTACAGCACCTACATGGATCCAGCACATACCTCTGCAGTGGCAGTGGGCACTGCACTACTGAGGGCTGGATGTACTACACTGTTTGTTTGGGCTCTGCTCAGAAAGAAGGATTTCCTGTCTTCAGAGACTTTTAATTAAAGCAATTCTTTTTTACTGTCACAACACTGCTGCCATCCCAACAATGCAGGGATTTCCTTGTTCTGTGTTCTCCCTCTGCAAATCTCAGCCCTGAAACGTGTTTTGAGGCTATCTATCTCGTTAAACTTATGAAGAGAAGCCCTCAAGTGAGTGTTAAATCTTCCTCTGTCTCCAGTGAGCTTCAATCAATCAACACAGCAGGTAGAGCCTTTTCTCGAGAAGGAAGAGGAGCTACAGGCTGTTCTCGCTGTAACAGCAAAGGCACACAGATCAAGCAGCACAATCTTTATTACTACAGTTTGCAAAAAGAAGGGAGCTCTGTCTCTGTTGACAAACCACTGTTGTCAAGAAGCCTCAAGTGCTGCCACTGGTTGGCTTTACAGTACTGAAATCTCAGCCGACGTTCCCCACAATGCCCTGGTGCTTTGTCCGTGTTCCTCCTGCAGTATTCCCAGAGTCAAGGAATATATGACCTTTCCCATGGTTGCAATTAACTATTTTTCTTCCCTCTTGAGAAGGGAGTCCTGTATTCAATGAAACTAGGCAGAGTGATTGTCCTCTGTTCCCTAATCCCACATCTCTCCATCACATATTATTTCTCTGCAACCACAGCCACCCATCATTCCTCAGTCTTCCATATCAACAGCAGTGAATTCGACTTTCCCCTCAAAGACCAAGCCTCCAGAAAGCCTTTGACACTGGCATGTTTCCTATTCCTGTCATTTTATAGATCACTCTCTTCCTGCCATTTCCTTTTCACAGGTTTCCTGCAAAGTCCTGTCCACAATTTGAACCAGTGAGTGATTTATTAGTTTGGGTTCCTGAAATATCACACTTTGCACTTCTCCCATAGATTAGGAGATTAGAATTGTTCGGTGCTGTGAACAATTAGATGATGCTCTCTGAGGCATGGTTTTCACCAGGCAACTCCAGGAAACCTCTACTGCAAAAAAATCAAAGTCCTGCATCTTAACTCCACGTGTTTACAACATCTCTGTTCCCCAGAATCAATTCCACAGAACAGTCTTGAGCATCTTTTGAAGTCAAAACATAGTAAAACTGTACAGACTGGAATTTTACTACTCAAAGTTTCATGAAGAACAATGTTCACATCCAAACAGAGAGATTAATCTAACTAATATCAAAAACATTGTAATGCTTCTCCTGTGGCTTTTCTGTAAATATGTCTTACAACAGGAAATTTGAGTCCCAAATGACTGTCTATCCCCATTCCCAGCTCTAATCTGAATTGTTACAGGATTTTTTACTTAAATAAAAAAGCATTTCTGTAAGGTTTTCAAGAGCTCCTTGGCTAATGACATGCCCTTCACATCCAAGATTCTTTTCTTTAAGTACTAATAGATTCTTTTGATCTTACAAATCAGCTGCTATCACACTAAGTGCTTTTTTAAGGAGCATCAGGTATGAAACAAACTTGATCAGCATAGAAAGGCTCTGCCGTTTCTCTCATTCTGCAGTTCCCTTACAGCAAGTTACAAATGCAAACAGGCACAGAGGTTGATGGAAAAAAGACATAAATGTTAGCACTACAGGAGTGACATTTTTTAAACAATTGAGCTGTGCACTTCACTTATTCTTAAACCTTGTTCCTATCACATAGGGATTCCAGATTATTTGTGGTAGGATATAAATTGGTATAACTGTCTGCCATGGTTCGATGGCAGGGACACTGTCTCCTTGCTCCAGCAAACATGTTAATGGACCCAAGTAACTGCATCCCCTGAGTTCAGACAGGACAGCATCATCCTTTCTGGATTACATCTACAGATCTCTCCTCAAACTCCTCCTTTGCAGTGGCTTACTGTACTGCTGAACCATTCCAAAACAATTCTCGAGATCTTCCTGAATCATTTTGCCACCAGCAGGCTGAACTGCAGACAGTTCCTCAAAGTGGTTATCTGCCTCATAAGACTCATACCACATACCTGCTAATTACCAGGTATTCTTGCCTGAACAATCAGCTTGATACATTCATTAACATATCACCCAGAAAAATAATTGCAAATCCTTCTGGAAGCTCTTCCACCTCAGATTGTTCTGAGTCGCTGGCGAGGCAAGGAGATGACATGTTTTACACTCTGCTTTTGCCAGGATGGGGTCATTCCCAGCTACTTGCCTTCAACAACTGATGCCAGTGCACAATTAGTATATTTACTACTACTCAATTAGTATATGTACTACCCAGTCTTTTGATGGATGAGCCCTGAGTAATTTGTCCCTTTTCAAAGGGATTTCAAAGGATTCATTAGCCCCCCAACAGCACTGTGGTTATGCATGTGTGTAGGCACTATAATGATATTTTACCGTGAAGTACCCACTACTGACAAATTGATTTTCCTCCATTTTCGCTTCAAGGTTTGTGGGGGTGGCCAAGGATGTAGTTCAAGTACAAGTACTTTTAAGAAGAGAGGGGAGTACACAGAAGCAGAATAGCTGTTTGATAACACGCTAATATTCTACACCCTCTCCTGTCAACAGTACCTACTACAACTACATTTGTTTTCAAGGCCTTTTTTAGAGCAGTTTTGGGCTTAAATTTGACACTGAGAATTTATTCCTCGACTAAGCAACTTGCCTATTGTTACACCTCTCTCTGCCCCACAAGTGATCATATATTTAGACAGTGTCAAGGCCCAAACTATTTCTGCCTTATTCCAGTGAAGTGATGGATGTTTTCTATAGTTCCTGCTTGCAATATTGATTTTCTCACCTAGATCCAGTCTAGTCCTGTGTGTCTGCATCTTGGCACTGTTTTGGCCATATGCAAATGCATTCTGTCTTGATAGCAACAAACAATTCAAGCTACAATTTACTCAAATCCAAAAGTGAGTGTTCTTCCGTCTACCATGTCTGCAGAGCCCAGTACATTTCTCTGGAATAACAGCTTAACTTGTTACTAGGACAACCAAAAAAGGTGACATCACACCTACTTCTTACATTGTGTGTATGCAGAAGGCACCAGAAGATCCAAGTTTTTTCTCTTAGTGGTTGAAAAGGATCTTTATTAGGCACCTCTGATTCTTCTGTTCTAGCAGGTACAGACAAAAAAAAAGAGGCAGTGTAAGCATGACTCTCCAACTTTTAGGAGCCAACCATAATCCAAGTAGTATGCAAATTCAGTTTGCACCCGTATTCCCAAGACTGTCCTTCAGCAAAATACACAGAGGATCTCTGAAGCCAAAACAGGCTACTAAGATGTCACCTTCGAGACCAGTGACCTAATTTTTAACAAAACAGTCACCTTCCCATTCCCATGACCCCACTACTCTGAAGCTGCTTTCTGCAATGGCACAGCTCAGCAGGAAATTGCAGCCCTCTGCTTCACCCCAGATCAGTCTAAACTCTTCTCCCTAAGCTTGACTCGGTCAAGTAGACAATGTCTTTTGTCCAACACAAACTTTTCCAAGTGTGACTACACACCCCAAGCCAAATGCTCTCTCTCTGCCTTGTGGGCTTTGAGTGACACTCCTCAATTTTAAAGAAAGGTTTTTCTACACCATTATGTACATAT